TTCTCTCCGTCAAATCCAGCAGCTCGGAGAGAGCCTTTTAATGTCCCTGGCATACGACAACATTGATATTGAGCTGAAGCACTGTATCCCGACGGTGGAGAAACCTCAGAACCACCTACTGCATATGACCTCTGGCACACTGTTACCATTAAAGTACGGCGTCACTCTTAACGATCTATCCTTCTCGGAGTACATCTGGAAGCGTTCAAGGTATAACCTATGGGCAAAACCATCCGATATCAGTCCAATAGACTACAGGGCATTGGCGCGGCTCTATCCCGAGCCCAACGTACCACCCGCAAACAGGTTGTTCCGACGGGACCGGTTCAATGCATGGGTTTTCCGTCGGGACCTTATCCAGTATGGCTCGCACTTTGGTCCATTTCGCAAGTATGTATGCGAGCCGGAGGTTATCTTCAAGCCTGTACCCGATGATTAGATACAGAAGACCCAACAGGTTCCGTTACAGGCAGTGAACTTCGCGCAAAGCTCTATACAGGGGAATATCGATGCACTTACCGCCTTCTTCAAGCAGGCTGGCATTGGTGACGGCAGCGGTGACACGAAGAGTCGCAAAAGGGCCCGGCGTATCAATGATCAGATACTGTTGGTTCATGGGGATCTCCTCACAGGCGAACGAGTGAGGCAGTTACAGAAATCGCGCGGCGATGAGAGAAGCGTATGGAATCGCTTCCAGTTCATCGTCTTCGTCATGGGCTACTTCCACGTCAAGATGGCTTGTGCTGACGCATTATGGCGCATCTTTATCTTACCTCCTGATGCGCGTCAAGACAACCTGTCATTGATGTCATTTGTTGCAGAATTACGGCCGAAAGAGATGGGCACCTTCGGCAGCAAGAGTGGCCCAGGATTCCGTCGGATGCACGAGGTCATACAGCATGTCGGTGCTGTATGGAGATTAAATGTGTGGCGCAAAAAGCTCAAATCGATGAACTTTGCAACACTCGAAGACTTTGCCAGCTCAGACCCATCGTGGGCGCAAATCGAGCAGATCTCCTTTGAACTTGCACGCGAGCAGGTTGCAACAGAGGACTTCTGGCGCCTGCGATCAACAGAGACAGCAAAGCGTGACAAGCAACGCGAGAACGCACTGCTCCGCGAGCAGTACTTCCTATTGTACGAAGAGATCACCTGGGCGCTCAACGCAGGCGATGTTGGTCGTGTCGAATGTTGCCTCGTTCCGTGGGCATTCTTGTTCAAGGCCTGTGGAAAGCATAAGTATGCCGCCCATGTCTTGGAATTCCTACACGACCTACATGTTGTATATCCGAAGGAAGTTCGGTGAGGTCTTGTGGACCAAGTTGGGATGAGAAAATACTTACGAGATTCCCCTCGTAGATTGGCTATCCAGAAAAACATTCTCGTAAACCCAACTGGCCGAAAGAATGCATGGCGACCCGTTGATTGGCTTGTCGAACACAATAATCTATACATCAAGGTTAGTTGCATCTCCACACCATACTGTGTATTAGTATCTGAACTGCTATCAGCGAATCTATGGCGGTAAGAATTCAAATAGGACTGTAGCAAGGATCATGCAAGAATCCTCGCTGATCGCAACCTACAAGAAGATACGCACGAACTTCGAGAAAATGTTCGTGTTGGATGGACGATCCACGAAACATACGACCCCGGACATGACAAAAACATTCGCGAAGTTGGCAAGCTACATGGATACACATCGGGCCCACGCATTCGTCGAAGGGCGAGAAACCAAACATGTCATACCAGATATGTTGGGGAAGGGGATGAATGACATGATGACGACACATCACGTCCACGAAGGCCTGGGGAGTGTTTTCGAAGAAGAGGCGCGGCCAACGGACGACGACATCGAGCTCGATGAACTCGATTGAGCCGCGGGCAGAGCAGAGGCGATGGAGACGACAGCGGTATGATCGTATGGCGCTGGTGCAGATACTTGCGGTTGAAGGGTCTGTAGCCAATGAAACTGAAGCGTGAATCAGCGTCTGCAGGAAATACAAGTATCGCCGTGCAGAGGTGGTGCATACATTACCCAGCGGATAACCACCGTACGGCTTCTCGTAAGCCGCATGCTGAACATTCGCAACATCCCTCGCAGCGAACAGACGACTCTCACTCGGGCTGGACGACGCAGTCTCGCCGTTTTCGTACGAGTTCGGGCGGCCGTCGTCCGACGTTGAGGAACCCGCGTCGACTGCAGGACGTTGCACCAGCGCTGGAGCCCGGTACTTGGCATGGTGCATACAAAGTAGAGAGTTTGAGTCTGGATCGTGGATTAGCCACCGTCAAATATCGGAGAGTATGAAGACTCACTGCGGCCTGTGCCCGCACATACGTAGCAGGCTGGAGGGTGTTCTGAACGTGCCGCTGTTGCATGCGGCATCTCCCAAGGGTGTTGCGCTTCTGAATGCGACGTAACGGACGCCTCACTGCCTTCCTTGGTCGACCAAAGCTGTTGCGTAGCGAACGAGAAACTGTTGGCTTGCGGCTCGTGTTGCTGCGCAGCTTGCTTGGCAACATGGATGATCTCGCCGTCGTGTCGCGAATGTGGTTGCACTGGGGGTAACCAATGGAACTGAGGTGCTCGTTAGTTCTTCCAGAAGAGCAAGGTATCGCCGTGAAGCGGTACATACATTGCTCAGCGGGTGATCAGTGTACGGCTGCTCGTAAGCCGCACGTTGAGCATCTGCAACGTCCCTCGCAGCGAATGTACGACTTGCGCTGGATGACGCCGCCTCGCCGTTTCCGGACGTGTTCGGGCGGGCACCGTCTGACGTCGAAGGACCCGCGTTGATTGCAGGACGTTGCGCCGGCGCTGGAGCCCTGTACTTGGCATGGTGCACGCAAAGTGGAGAGTTCATTTCTGAACAGTGGATCAACCAACGTCAATCAAAGAGAGTACCGAGGACTTACTATGACCTGTTTCCCCACATGCATGGCACATTGGAGGGCGTTTTGGACGTGTCACCGTCGTACGCGGCACCTCCTGAGGACGCGGCGCTTTTGAACGCGACGCAGCGGCCGCCTCACCACCTTCCTTGGTCGATCGGAGCTGTTTCGTAGCCGACAAGGAGCTACTGATTTGCGTCCCGCGTTTCTGCGCAATGTGCTCGATGATCGTGATGATCTCGTCGCCGTGTTTGTCGACATCGTCCGCCCTCCAATGTGTCTCGACCGCCAGCGATTCCTTGTTCTTGATCTTTCGAAAGTGGGCGCAGTCGACGACGCGGTGAATGAGATCTTCAGAAAAGAATAAACCCGGGCCGTAAGTATGGAATACCGCTGGCCCGAGCTCTCTGAGTCCAGCGTCCAAGCGCCATTCGTAGAGCGCCTTCCGAAGGGCATGATCATGGGTGTCCGGGGTGTATTTCTTCAGACTCGACCGCCGCGCACCTTGGGCCGACTTCTCTGGTGGTCGTGTCTTTGCCAGTTTGTCGTAATGGGGTGGATCGCACAAATCGCAGCAAGAGATAGGTGCGATAGGCGCGCAGCGTCTACAACCATCAGGGCGTGATGGGTCACACATCTTGTGATCTGACTCTGCACGACGTGAGATCAGCTTGCACTCGCATTTAATATCCAGAGAACTCACTTTGCGCATGCTGTTCGTTGTTGAACATGTCGTTGAAAGGAGCTCGACGATATCGTATATGGGGCCTCAAATGTGCATTGACAATATCGTCAATGACGGGATCGAGCACGACTTCCGTCTTTGTTGACGCCTTTGATCGGTGTAGCGAATCCTCTGGCAACCGATGGTAGAGCGCACGGCGCTCATCTCTCTTGGCGCGAAGATCGTCCACGGAGGAGCTTGTATGTGGGGCACTGGTCACATCCACGTTACGTGGTTCGTCATTCTCTTGTCCGTTGTCATCCTGACCATCCTCCTCCTCCTCAACATCTAGCCTTTCGTCCGGCTCTGCTGCGCCGTTATTGCCATCTGACAACCTTTTAACACGTTTCGCCCTAACTTTCATATCGGCTCTGCTTTGCTCTCTCCTGCGCTTACGTGCCTGATCTCGCTCTCGTCGGAGAGTCTTCGCCCGCTCGGTCTTCTCCCGTTCGTCATCGAAAAACTTTTTCTCGACGATCAAGATGAAGTATCCCTGCTCATTGAGTCCGCGTGCTGCACGGCCGGCACGCTGCAAGGCTGTTTGCAATGTGAGGTGCGCGACCTTCCACTGAACCACGATCTCGATGCCAGACTGATCGACACCCTACAAGCCCGCGTCAAGGCCTACGTGTACCCAAATATAGAATAACCATACCATGCCGTATGCATCAGTAGCCACAAGACCCCAAATACATGTTCCTTTCTTGAATTCAGAAGAGATTTCTGCCCGATATTCACCACTCAGCCGCGAGTGGAACCACTTAATTCGGCTTCGTAAAGAGATCGGAAGAATGGTATGTAAGTACTTGCAGATATCCTCGGCCTCGACACAGTTGTCTGTAAAAATTACAAACTTCGGCGGTGGTTTGTGCTCGTTGACATCATCGGGGATGAGGAACTTGAGGTCGGCAAAACTGTTTGCAGGGTGCTGCATAGCGCGAACTGCGATATGAATATTCGGCCGGTCGTTTGTCCGAATAAGCCTGGTCATGTTGTCTGCGCGCAGATGGAGAATGCGCATTACATCCGCAAGAGTTCGGGGATCAAGAGTTGCTGAAGCAATATAAATAGGAATGATTTTCTTCATCATGAAGCGGAGGACACCAGCCTGTATGTAGTCTGGGCGGAAGTCCTTCCAGTTGCTGACGCAGTGCGCTTCATCGTAAACAAAATACGCAAGGTTATCAAGAAAGGTTTGATCTTGGAATAGTTTGTGGAAACTGCCGCTTTCGTTCGCCAACAGCTCTGGGTTCACATTCACGACGCGGTACTTCATAGCACGTATGTCCTAGATATGACATTTAGCTAATCACCTAGAAACACAAGTCATTTCACATACTGCAATGAGCTCTGTCGAGACT